GGCAGGGACAGGCCGGGGGTGGGAGAAGGGCAACAGACTTTTATCTCAAGGTCCCCTTTGGCTCTGAAATTCTGCAAATTAAGGTTTCCTAATCCCTATAGCTAGCCAAAACAGAATCAAATTTAACATTAAAAATACATTAAAATGTAAAAAAATAAAATTAAATCCTGAGAGAGCCCCTCTCCACCGAAGACCTTTTTTAGTATCTTTGACAATGAAAAATGCAAGTAGACCACTCTCACTTCCAAGTGTCCTGGCCTTCTGTATAGCTTGTCTCTCAGGACAAATGTAAGAAATTTTCCATTAACAACCAAACTTCTTTGAAGGTCTCCTATGGAATTACATCCTCCACTCTATAATTCTGTGCTTAAGTCATTTGAAATATTTTTCTATATTATTTCTTTCCACCAAGCGAATGCCTGAGGTTTTTCAGTGCATAAACCAGAGTGGGGATTCAGAACACCAAGGTCAGCAGAATGGACACCTAAATATAGAGGCAGTGTGTTGTTCAAGTCAGAGTTCCTTTTAGACGGAGTACTGGATTTCAAGTGTATAATTATATCACAAGGTGAGGTGTTTGTAGCTACCTTGTTGAGCTAATTCTCTTGCCTGTAACTTTAGTCCATCATTCCAAATTATATGACAAACCTGATATCATTTGTGGTGTCAGCGAGGACAAACCCTATGTGTGTGTTTGCCTAACCGAGAGTTAGGCAATGATTTACCCAAGGTCACACAGCAGAACCAGGCCTGGAGTCCAACTGTCTGAGTCCGAGTCTCCAGCACTCTTTCTGCTAAAGTGCATGATACAAAATGCCACAAATGTTCCTAGAAAGTCTTTACAATGCCTCAAAGTTAGAATAGGAAACTCATTGCTATGAGAGACGGGTGCTTCTTGGAAAATTGACTTAGAAGAGTGAAAATTGTATGACGACACAAAAACAACCCACGTGTGAACTACTACACACCTGTGTAGAAGTTCTCCCCAGTGTTCCTCACTGAGCCCTTGATGGCAAGATCATAAGTGTGTTCTTTCCCACCTACCACCAAGTGCCAAATATGAAGTTCAAATTCAACAAATGTTGGCTTAGTTACTGAATGAAATGGAGTTGGAAAGTGAGTCAAGAATAAATGTTCAGGGCCTCCCGGTGGCGCAGCGGTTGAGCGCTGGGTTGCGAAGTTCTGCAGCGCCGGTTCGATTCCCGGCCCCTGGGCGAGGGTCCTACATGGCGCACAGACCTCTCCTGCCGCCCGCTGCTCCCCTCAGCAGTGTACTTCGTTACTCTGCCTGCTCTGTTCTCCCCTCTGGCTCTGGTGAATTCTCTCACCCTCCCAACTCATGCTTCTGACTGTACCCAGTGCTTGTATAAATAAATAAATCTTTAAAAAAAAAAAGAATAAATGTTCAGGGGCCTCCCTGGTGGCACAAGGGGTAAGACGCAACCAACGAAGCTATCTGCAGCCTCTGCAGCAAGAGTTCAATCCCCGGCCAAGGAGCTACCCACATGGCACAGCAGACCTCTCCTGCCTCGCCCGCAGCTCCCCTCAGCAGTGTATTTTAGTCAATCTGCCTGTTCTGCTCCCCACTCTCTGATAAGTCCTCTCACACCCCACAACTCTGGCCTATACCCCAGTTCTTGTATGCCTAAATAAATAAATCTTTAAAAGTGGAAGGGCTGGAGGTGGACATACATATCAGATTTGTGTGCTGTGTCAAGACAACACTGCGCTGAGTGACAGAGACTAGTTAAAGGAAACTTTGTGAAATTCATCTTCTGGGGTGACCCTATAGTGAGCTACACACATATTCTGACAGTTCTTACAACCATCCTCTAAGAAGGCCACTATTTTTCTCATTTTTCAGTTGGGAAACTAAATGAGAGGCCAAGCAATTGCTCAGTCTCTCTGCTAGTATGTAACCAAGCCTTTACAATAACTGCCATTTCAAACATCTTAAATATTTTTAAAAATCTGCCAACAACCACAAGTTCTCCAAAGAGCCCTGGTCCATTTTATTGAAGAGTGATATTACAAACCAAGATCTGGGCATTAGGTGTGCATGTTGCTACCAGGTTATCTTTTAGACCTTATCCGGCAAAGAAATAGGTGTACACTAACTTGTGTATATAGACATATCTATAAACATTTCTATATGGAACCATCTATACATATATTAAGGTGAAGATGAGTTCTTAGTGATCTCCACGCTAATCCATCATCACATGGATCATTCTAGCCTCCTTCCCTTGTATATCTGTAAAATCTCCCTCCAGGAATGGTTTTTACCATATGCCATCCATTTGCTTCAATTCTAATGTGCAAGCATCAGAAGTGTTAACCTGTACTGCTATGGGAAACATGTTACCATCTAGAGTACAGTGCTTATGCCTGGTTCCTAGTGCCTTGAGTCTCTCCTCATTTCTACAATTACTTAGATAAGCAGTTCCCCAACCGCCCCCTCAGTGAGGTTGTTTTGCACTTTTGTAACAGATTCTACTGTCACAATGCACTTCCCTTTCTGGGATACACAAGCTTCTTAAATGATTTTTTTTCCCAATTCATATATACTCTAGACTGAATGTTTGGTCTATCCCCCAAACAATGAATTTCATACAGTGAAACATAATTCCCAAAGTGATGGTTTTTGGAGGGGGACCTTTGGAAGCTGACTAGGTCATGAGAATGGATTCTTCATGAGATCAATGCTCTGACAAGAGCTGCCTGAGAGCTCTCTCTCACTCCTCCCGCCATGTGAGGACTCAGTGAGAAGATGGCTGTCTCTGAAGCAGGAAGTGGTCAACTATCTTCCATATTGTTTTTGAACCACAGGTGCTAATTAGACATGAGTTTTAGGAAGATTTGTCCAGCTCAATTCTTAAACTCCTTTACGACCTACCCCATGAATGGTGTAACATGTCTAAACTTACTTCCAATGGCAGGAAATCACCGTATTTCTAAGCACCCTTTCCCCTGCCAGGGTAGCTGAGAGATCTCCTGAAAGCTCTTTACTATGAATTTAAGTTCAATATGGTTCAACGTTGTAAGTATATACTGTTGGTGGGTGTTGGATCCCAAAGTAAGATGTGCTGCTTACTAGGTTGATGTTCAGAATTTCAGAATCACTGTTCCAGACCATGCCATCCACCAGAGACTGGAGAGTGATTCTTCTCATGTTTTATAAAATAGATAAATTGGACTTCAGAAAATGTTTAACTTTTGTTCTTCAAAAGATACCATCAAGACTGTAAAGACAACCCACAGCTTAAGAAAATATTTGCAAATCACATATTTGATAAGGAATTTATAACTAGAATTCTTATAACTCAACAATAAAAAACAACAGCCCACTTAAAAATAAGCAAAATATCTGAACACATATTTCTCAAAAAAAAAGATATACAAATGGCCAACAAGCACATGAAAAGATGCTCATCATTAGTCATTAGGGAAAAACAAATCAAAACTACAATGAGATACTACTTCACATCCACTAGGATGGCTAAAATAGAAAAGACAATAACAAATGTTGGGGTAATAAAATGGTAAGAGATTGGCAGTTCCTCAAAATGGTAAATGATTCAGCAATTCCTCTCCTAGGTATACATACCAGAGGAAACATATGTCCACACAAAATCTTGTAAGCAGCATTGTTTTTAACAACCAAGAAGTGGAGACAACCCAATGTCCATCAACTGATAGATAAAAGGCATTGTGACATATCAACACAATGGAATATTATTCAGCTGTAGAAAGGATGAAGTACTGACACGGGCTATGACATGGGTGAAAAGATGATGCTAAGTGAAGGAAGCCAGGTCCAAAGGCCACATATTATGATTCCATTTAAACAAAAAATCCGGAACAGCCAAGTCCACAGAGAAAGCAAATTTGAAGCTGCCAGGGACCATGGGATAGGACAATTGGAGTAACCATTAATGGGTACAGGGCTTCTCTTTGAGGTGATGGAAATGTTCTAAAATTACAGCGTGGTGACGGTTGCACATTTTCATGCTAAAGAACACATTAAAGGGATGAATTTTTATGGTGAGATACTCACATATATACTCAGCTTATACACTCACAAATAAGCTGTTACAAAAAAATGTAAAATCCTTTGACAGATCTTCTTTGCCAAGACACTTCAGTAAGTGAAACATTCAAATTTTTTCATCACCTATATCCAGCTAAACCTACAACCTTCATCTCCTGCTATTTTTTTCTTTCTGCCCTAAATTTATCATGCCTTTTTATAATACCATGCCTTTGCACACATTATTCTTGCTGTCAAGAATGCTGCCCCTCTTCTCTTCCTGTTGAACTCTTATATATTCTTCTAGACCAAATAGTGTTTCCTCTAAGAATCATCCCTTACAAGCTGATCATCCCCTCTAGGCTATAAATACTGGTTTGTGCATCTGCCCCTGTTAATAGACTCTGAACTTCCTAAGTTAACTAGACAGCATCATCTTCAGCCCCAGGATCTAATGCTTGTAAACACTTAGTAAATGTTTACTGAATAAATGAATAACAAAATACTCCCTCACTATGGCTAGAAATAGTGCTATTTTTTCCTCCAACTAGTTTAATTGGTAAAAACCATACAAATATAACTTGAGTTCTGGCCTTTGGAGACCAATAAAGTGAAATAATAATACAAATTTGAGGCCAACATAGAGACTTAAGGAAAATTACCATAAAGTAACATTTCATGAGGGTTCATAGTTCAGATACTTATCACTGTTGACCGAACACACTTACCGAAGTCAATACTCTTTTATTCAACATATTAAATGTGTTGTTTAACTCTGGTAACCACAGCTGTGACTTAGTTAACGATCTCAATAAATCCTACTTAAATCAGAGACAGGAAAAAATTATGCAAATGAATTCTTATCTGTTTTTCTGCCCAAGGCATATTTGATAACAGATAAAACATACTCCAAATAGTCTCTACTTAATAGTCAGGAAGCCATTTGAGGCTTTATTTGGATCAAAATCAAATACAAAGAATAGGAGACGCCTGTTACATTCATAAACACTTTTATTTCAGAAAGAAATTACACATTAAAAGGAGGCATAGTTAAGAGCTTACAATCACATATGGAAGTGAATATAGGAAAGTCAACAGTTATTAATATACAAAGCCACGTGATTAAAAAAGACAGAAACAGAGAATGACAGATGGGCTTGTCTTAGACTGATCCACAAAACAATATCTTTTGCTTAAAAACAAGATACTGGTCTTTAAGACAGTTCTTTAGAAAAGAATGTGTCATTCCAAGGGACTTTAAAAATCAAACCATCACCCTGGCCTCCATGTAGGCTGGGTCACACCCACACTCCCCCAGCAGGATGGAAATCACCCATCAGTCACACCTGGCAGCTAGACAGGATGTCTTCCACTAATCTCTTGTAAACCCAGGCATCACCCTTAAGCCGCTGCCTCCTGATGCCTACCACATCGGGTTTTTGAAGCTGGCACACTTCTAGTTCAAACTGCATTGTCACTTTGCCAAAATCTGACTGTGTTTGACACTTCAGTGTATAGCTGTGAAAAACAAGATAAGAAGCCAGTTAGTAAGAGAACCATGAACATTCTGTATGATACCAGAGATTTCTAAGCCTGTAGGAGGTTGGTGAAGAAAATGAACCATTATTTCATGTAAGTAATGTATCACTGCTTACAGTTTCCAAATGACCTAGCTATGCTTTAGTGGTAGCATATGACTGGTGTTTTCTCAGAAGCTAGGATCTTAAGAAAGAATAAGGATGAAAAGGCTTTACCAGAATTTTCCCTTGCTCCAAAGAAAAGTCCCTCTTTCATAGCTATACATGCCATTCATGCTCAAGAAATCTTCTGGCATCCTTTATGCAATTCTTTCAACAGTGTAATCCGAGAACATTAAGCCATTTCCACAATGTTCACAACAAAAGAAGGCACAGGAAAGATTAAGAATATGTTTTGTATGCACCTCATCAGAAACTTCTGTCTTTCAGACAAATAAATCTGAAGCCACTCATCTGCTAGGACACGTGCTTTTCAGTTATTCTAATAGTAATCAGAGGTTTACAAAAGAAAGTCCAGAGACGCTACACTGGGACGTATGGCATTTATAATTAGAACTGCCACCTTATCTACTTTGACAATGGAAAGGCCCAGTCTAAATGAAGCCTTAAACTCATCTTAAGAAATAGGTGTGTTGGTGCTTCCCTGGTGGCACAGGGGGTTAAGCGCCGCACTATGAAGCAATCCGAAGCCAGGGCAGCACGAGTTCCATCCCCGGCCAGGGAACAACCCACATGGCACAGCAGACCTCTCCTGTCTTGCCTGCTGCTCCCCTCAGCAGTGTATTTCAGTACATCTGCCTAGTCTCCTCCCGACTCTGTCTCTGGTGAATCCTCTTACCCTCCGCATCTCTGGCCTGTACCCCAGCTCTTGTATGCATAAATAAATAAATCTTTAAAAGAAAGAAAGAAAGAAAGAAATAGGTGTGTTTCTGAAAAGTTGCATAAATTGATTTCATGCAAATTAAATTGGTTTTTAATTAGTTCACATTATATTAAAGTTTTATTCAGTTGCCTTGCTGATCTCCAATAAACAAACACTAGAACAACTAAAGCACTAGAAATGATAGAATTGATTTTAAATGACAGATTCCTAAATAATTAGAGGCACATGATTAGGTAGCGTTCTCTAAGAAGTGTGGAGAAGTAACTATGTATCTGTTATATAATATGAGGATTCACAAATATCATTCTTTTTTCTTAGTTATGTGTTTGGGGGCTTGATCTCTTAAAAATATTCAGTATCAGAAATGCTAAGGGGGGCACCCTGATAAAGTTCCTGGTGGGAAGATAAAGCATATTACTAATATGGAAGATTGAAAGTCATTCTTCCTGATTGAAAAAAAGATACTAGTGGAATATAAGCAACATCTCTCTAGTGAAAAATCTTTTTGTTGTTGTCCTGCCTTATTACAAAGAAGGTAAAAACATGGGGTGGGGGGGCAGGAAGGATAAAGGCAGAGACCTGGTTGATCAGGAAGTTCAACCTGATAGAGAGATCAGATGCTGAAGGAAATAATTGAAAGTCTTCTAATACAGATTTGGCTAGAGGTTCTGGAACCTAGAAAAGCCCCAAGCACTAAGACCAGGTCATAGTGCATGAAATATGTTCCAGCAATACCTAGTGAAGGGTTCTCCAAGGTGCACTTGCCAACATTCACAGGGAGTGAAAGCAAAATTACTTTTGCAAAAGACTGCTACTTACATGTTTTTGTTAAATCTATTAGCAACTCTTCATAGTTGCTTTAATAATGAATTTTAAAGACACATTACTAAGTGGATTGCTTAAAAATATGAACATTTTAGGTAACCAGAAAGGTATTAGCTAGTCAGACCAGGAGATCATAACCAAGGAAGTCTGGATGGCAGTTCAATCAACAGTGGGAAAGTGTTTAGGTGAAATAACTTCTTAAAGTACTGAAAATTCAATCATGCAAAATAGCAAGACATAAAGAGAAGGATTCTATATAAATGGTGAATTTGTTTGAAGTACCCCATAAATTGAATTATAATTTGTAAATATTTTGGAAAGCAGAATATCAGTTGAGGATGCAAAAGAAATCTGGAAGAAGTTTTAATTTTCTTATTTGGAAAATCTAACATTGAAATTGGTAACAATATGGGTGCTTGAAAATATCTATAGTTCATAAAAAACAAAAGAGAATCAATTATAGTAGCATCGCTTACACTACTATAAAAGTTTTTTAGAACACAGTGGGAGAAATTAATTTTTTTAAGTGGAGAAAGGAATCAACCCGTATTTTCTCAAAGCTGAAAGATAACAAATTATAAATGCAACATCCTTTAAATGAGCTGCTTACCCCTTTTGTACAAAGTCAACGTGCTTCTTTGGAAGAACAGACATGATTTCATTCAGGAGTTGATCTGGATTCACTAATTTGGTTGTAGTCACATTATAGTGAAGCTTAAAAAAAGAAAAAGGAGTGAGAAATAAATCTTTACAAAGATCATCCTAGCTGAAAGAGAATCCAAAAGCTCCTCAATATAGTTTCAAATGGAAATATTTCAAGAAAAATACTGAAAAGATTTACATTGAACTCTTGGTAAAGTAGATTAAGTTTAATCCAGGTGCACAAATACAATGCACTGAGAAAGCTTAGAGAAATCATATATATTAGTAAGTACATGCAGAGAATTCTTTTTATACTTTCATTTTTCTTTTCTACTAATCTAATCTCTTTCAAGAAATTAGTAAATGTTGAATAATATCTATGTTTGAACTTCACGTCTTTCTCCCCTATTATACCACAATAAAGACATTAAGTCTTGAAATATAGACTGTGGGACGAGGAAGAAATATCCTAGAAAATTTGGTTTGTATATAGTTGGGTATGTTTCCTTAATTCCTTCTTTAATGTTTTCTTAATTCTTCCCTTAATATTAGAGAACTCTAGGAACTGGTCTATGACAACTGTATAAGAGAATTAATATAAAAAGTATTCTTTAAAAAGGAAAGCCACTTCGGAGAAGTTTCTTTTTAGCTTTTCTGCCCATTTTATGACTGGATTATTTTCTTTGTTTTTTGTTGAGTCTCATCAGCTCTTTAATGGCCAACAGGCATATGAAAAAATGTTCAACATCACTTGCAATCAGGGAAATGCAAATCAAAACTACAATGAGATACCATCTTACACCAGTGAGAATGGCACATATTAAAAAAACTAGCAACAACAAATGTTGGCGAGGATGTGGAGAAAAAAGAACTCTCCTGCACTGCTGGTGGGAGTGCAAACTGGTCCAACCACTATGGAGAGCTGTGTGGAGATTTCTGGACCTACTAAACATAGAGCTTCCATATGATCCAGCAATTCCACTCCTAGGTGTTTACCCAAAGGACATAGAAACATCAATTCCAAAGAGCACCTGCACCCCTATGTTTATAGCAGCACTGTTTACAATAGCTAAGCTTTGGAAACAACCCAAATGCCCAAAAATAGATGACTGGATCAAGAAGATGTGGTACATATACACCATGAATATTACTCAGCATTCAAAAAAGATAAACACATGCAATTTGCAGAAACATGGATGGCGCTGGAAGGGATCCTGCTCAGTGAAATAAGCCAGAAAGAAAAAGAAAAATACCGGATGGTCTCACTCATAGCAGGACTAGAAAACCTAAATAAGGGACCAGGAAAAAGAATAACTATAAGAAGAAAAAATCAAATTCAACAAAAACTATGAACCAGAGACATACTATGGGGGGTGGGGGGAGGGAAAGGAAGGTTTGGTGTCAAAATAGGGGGTTGCCAATGGTATGGGGAATATAAAAATAAAATAATAAATAAAAATAAAATAAAAAGGAAAGCCAAATAAGTTTTTTTCTCATTGAGAGGAAGTTTCATTCCTAGTTGGAAGATCCCTCCATTCATTATTCAACAACCATTTACTGAAGGCTCACTGTGCAATCTGGCGCCATTTTTAATAAGTGAAGAGAGGATAAAACCCCTATCTTCCTACTAGTAACTTGGTGTCACAAAGGCAATAGCTTGATAGCACTGTCTTGATTACCCCTGCGCCACCAGGAGGGCCTTAAATCTAGGTTTTAAACATCTTGATTGTGGTGATGGCGTGTTTCACAACAGGTACATATATAATGCGAAAGCATATTAAGTGTGCACTAAATAGCTGTATAATTTATAGTACGCCAAGTATACCTCGGTAAATCTGTATTTTTTTAAAAGTTGCTATAAAGAAATACTAGATAATAATAGCACAGGTGAAATCTGATATGGAGGTGAGTTAAATGAATGGAGTTTGGGGATCCCAAGTTCAAGTGATAAAGGAAAAAGTGGCCCAGCTACGACAGGCCCCCCTCTTTCCCCTGACTCCAATCCAGGGCTTTCACCAAACTAAACTGGCTTTGTCAAGATAATAATAAACTGAATTTCAAATCAAAATTTAAGTAATTCCTTATATAAAATAATTTATTTAAATTTCAGATTTTTATGGATTGTTTCCTTAAAAGAACTTAACTACGGGCCTCCCCGGTGGCGCAGCGGGTAAGCGCTGGGTTGCGAAGCTGCCCGCAGCCTTTGCAGTGCCGGTTCGATCCCCGGCTGCTCCCGGCCACGAAGGAGGGTCCCACATGGTGCGCAGACCCTCCTGCCGCCCGCTGCTCCCTCAGCAGTGTTCTTCGGTCCTTCTGCCTGTTCTGCTCCCCGCTCTGGCTCTGGTGATTCTCTCACCCTCCCTGCGCTTCTGACTGTACCCAGTGCTTGTATAACAAACAAACAAATAAATAAATAAATCTTTATTAAACAAAAAAAAAGAACTTAACTACATATGATTTGTTACCTTAAAAAAACTAAGAGACTTTAAAGAAATCTAGTCCACTCACCTTTCGTTTTCTTATCCCGTCCTTGGCAGGGCCCTTCCTTTTGTTCCTGGTAAGCACTGTGATAACCTTATCCAACCCCCTTTCAAGGCTCCCAAACACTTTAGTTCCTTTTCTTTTTGGCGTGTCCTCTACATGTACTTGGTTGAGATCCAGTTCCACTGAACGGCACCTTAAAAAAGAAAAAACTCGTGTAAAGCTGGGCTTCCTGGCTGCGGGCCCTCACAGGGTTTTCTGTGCTGTTCTTTAGATGTGCCTCATTCAGGTACACCATGACCTGACCATCCGCCTCCCTCAGGAGCATGGGCACGATCTCCCACTGGAATGCAGCCATCACCTGCAAGTCACTGCCACTGGGCAGAATTATTTACCCCTACCATTTTTTCCATGTGAAATATACAGAAAAGTCAAAATAGTACGGTGAACAAATGAACCGTCACATACCCTCTTAGATTCAACAACTGTTAATATAGTGCCATACTTGCTTTCTCTACTGATAGACAACACATGAAGTGCATGTACAGCTAAGCCATTGGAAAGTAACCTGTCTGAAGATATTACAACCCTTCACTCTGAAACACTTCAGCATACAAATCCAATACACAGGGACATTTGCCTATGTGAACCTAATACCATTATGACTTCAAGAAATTAATAATGCCATAGTATCCTCTAATATCCTGTTTACATTCTAATTCCACCAACTGTCCTCAAAATGGATCCTGCTTTTAAAAACTTGCTATAAAAGACAACGAAGAGAGACCTTTCCTGCAGAACAGAAATAGGTTTTCTTTGAAACACCACTTTGTATCTTTGTTTACAGGTAACAGTGTAAGTGGATATTTATACCCTACTGGCAGAAGAGTAGGGAAAGATGGACATTAGAGAGGGAACTATGTGGCTGGGGGCAGGACCACTGTCGTCCAGCCTGCCATTAAGATACTGGTCCCACTGCTGGTGAATTTCACAATCCCACGCCATAGGAAGGCAGTGGCTTTCCAGTAATGGCGACAGTCCTCATATAGACAGACATTCCTACAGTCTCTGACAGAACCTATGTGATAGTTTACCTTAATCAGATTTGTCCTACATGGCAAAAGAAATCTGATTATAGTAACTAAAGATGAGAAAGTCTAAAGAAAAGGGAACACTTACCGCCTCTCAGGACTAATGACACCTGTCATTAGCTTCTCTTCTCCTGCTGAATTTAATGGTGTTTTAATTGGGGTTTCTCTCAGGCACTGGTTTCTAACTATTAGAAAAACAACAAACACAAACCACATGTAGCTGACAGACTATGATATAAAAATTTCTTATCAATAACCCATTTACCACCTCATTCATTGACTCAGAAATATTATAATTGTTTGGCTGGTGATGTCAAGGCTCTCATTCTTTAAAGAAATATTTCCTGTAATCAATAATAAAACAAAACCATTTTACTTTTTCCTCATTGTAAAACTGAGGTAATGCTTATGGTTTTATTATAAATACCATATGACAAATCTAAATAGGACATATGTATGCTGATG